TCCTTTATTATGTGCCATCTCCGCGAAAAAATAACATTCTTCGACTACTCTTATTTGCTTTTATCATCTACAAAAGCATACACAGTTTGTTATAACAGCGTTGGCAAGCTCAGGGAATTTTAGCGTTCTTATTGATAACATGTTGTCCTGGCTGTCGGAACAATGCTCCTCACATCGTTTGAGATGACCTAGGCGTCTGCGATTTTTTATTGCTTTTTAATAGGAAAATTAGTCGCCTATCGTTATGATTTACCGATTTCTATGATGCTTAGAGCCGACAGAGTGAGTTATCATCATATTAAAGTGATCTCAGAAACCTCCACAAGGCACCTTTATCAGGCATCACACAGATAGTGATACATGACCGCACTCCGGTATGATTATCATCCGGAACTTACCTGGCAGGGGTGGGGATTGAACCCCGAATTCCCGGGCTCTGCAGCGCGAGCCCTGGATGCACGTGCTCCGAGCTGGTGCGCACGTGCTCCGAGCTGGTGACAATGACACCCAAAGAAGTTCGGAAAACGAGCCTTAGCTCTTAAGGAAATTGATGTTTCCAGTGCGCGAGCACTGAACATAGCATCTATAGAAATGTAAACAGCGTGTTTAATATTATTTCGGACATATTTACTAAACAAAAGGGGGCGAGAGTTGGAGCACACCCTTCTTCATACTGTGTTTCAATAAACAGGAAGTTATGGTTGGAGGAGTTCAGTTTTCATCATATATTTATAAGGCACGGCAGACATTATATGAGGAGATAATTGCCATAGTAATACGTTCACACGACTGTGAAGGCACCTTTAGCTAAGGAAACTTTATTCTCTGCGGCCAATCATTTGACAATCGTACGCGCGTGGCGTGTGCTCGCGACCCAAGAGCACGGGCTGATTCACCGATAGCCAAGGGACCTATGTTAAATGCACCTTTATGTACCGTGTGAATGGCGTATACGAAGGCTAATTATTTAATATTCGTTAATTAGTTTCTCAATTATTGATTTTACAGGCCGTGTTTATTTTGCAGTATTGACGGGAAAATACTGCTAGAGAATTGCAAGAATTTTCAAGCAAGTAAATGTTTTTTTTAGATATCAATTAATATATTTTCACATTTTTTTATCCTGATTTAAAATCTCCGACGCTCCAAATTTCCTACTCCGAGCCCTGCAACAACACGGAACATATAGCGCACTGGAGCATGACACACCGTAACTATCCACGACCAGCAGGCGCCGTGTATGCTTCTGTTCCTTGACCTTCTCTTACAGCGTTGTTTTCCCTCCTTAATCACGTATGACCCGAAAGAGCCGCTTCCGACCGCACGGTCATGACGAGCCTGGGATCTCATGGATACAGGTTGCAGACGCCGAAAATTTGTAGGTTTGAGTGGAAAAAAAAAAAAAAAAGTCAGTGACGCTAAAAAGTTTCTTTAAATATTTTAATACTCCTGAAATGTTTAGAGACTCGGTTCGAGCACATACGCGGATGGTTACTATGACTGATCTATTTATTGACCATGCATCCAGCTTACTTCTAAATTCAAGATGGCATTCTTGAACTGGCTTGTCGACAGGAAACTACCAAACTTGTCAGCGATGTTACGTGGTTCCCACTGGCAGCGTGAGACAGAATTTGTCGATGCGCTACCAACACACCATTGTTCAATAGACAGCACGTAAATTGTTTTTCAGGCGAGATGCACGAACAAACCTTTTTCCAGAATGCTAACTGATGTTTCAGATTTCCAACCGAAGCTTATTTATTCGTTGAGCTAAGCATTATAAAAAAGGCAAGATCCAACTGTCTTTACATTTCGACAACTTTTCCTTCGATGTGCTGTCGGTACGCTACCGTTCGATAGATAGCGCGTTAATTTGTTTCCAGGCAAGATGCACAAAACATACCTCTTCCAAAACGCTAATTGCTCTCTTGGCTTTGAAATCAAATCGTTCTCACCTTCTGTACTAAGCACGATTCAATTGGAAAGGAGCAGCGGTCCGAATGTTTGCACCGATCATCTCGAGCACCTGTCTGTCGTCGCCGCCATCTTGTTTACAGGTGGGATGCAAGGTTACTAAAGCACTGAGTTGGGAAACTCACCCTTGAAACCCAAACCGTTCGCCTCTACCGAGACAAAATTGGTCACTATACAGGCGCCACCCTTTAGCGATCAGTCGAAATATGCAAGCTAATTGATATAGCTACTGTGAAATGTCACTCTGAGATGGCGCCACAGGCTCTTGCGTGACTCGACTTTAACCAATGCGCGCAGCCGAGCGGTCCCCGGAGTGGCCGCGGCGGAAGAAATGGCGGCGTGGCGGAGCTACTTTTTAAAGCACGCTTTATGGCAGTTTCCCAGATGTGTTGTTCTAGTAACATTGACGTGATGTCATTCGCTCTCTGAGAAAAATTCGGTGCACGATGAGCGCGCTCGAGTGTCAGTCTCCAGGGTCGTTCTGTCCGTCTAGTGAACGGAGCGCCGAACCTTCGCGCTCCGGAGCACGCACTTTACGCATCCCATGGGCAGGGCGTGCGGCGCGCTTTTTGCGCGCAACATTTAAATCGGGCTTATAATAGTGAATGTTTATCAATTGATGACTAAAATGCATTACATGTTTGCAAATTATTTTAATGTATCTGCCCTATTCGCAATTGCCGTCAATTCTGTAATTTAGAGCATGGCACGTAAAAACCAATAATTAAAAACACCAGTAAACAGAGCATAGCTAATTAGACAATATATCATAACGACTATCTTCCATCTCACGTCCGCCGAGCATGTTAAATACAAGGTGAAGACGGCACTCGTCTAGTAACTTTCATCTCTTAAAAAAATAAAGTAAAAATAAATATATATTTGTCTGAATTAAATGCGAACGCCCTGTGTACCTATGAAGGCGCTAATTCTCTATACGATGAAGCAAAGCGGACACTTCGTGGAAACCCTGCCAGTTGAGCGTTGTGAGTGTACCACGTGACTGCTTCCCCGGAGGTCAGCTGTCACTCTCACGGCATTTTGAATAGTGCGGCACGCAACGTCTACTGCGAACCGCCGCAAGTCGAAACAAATATGGAAAAGAAATATTACATACCTTTCCAGCTCACAATTAATTTTAATACTGATTTGTGGCGTCAACATACATTCATTCATTCATTCATTGATCCATTCATTCATTCATTCATATATTGATTGTTTTATTAAATGTGCTGCGCGAACGGCGAATATATTTTAAGGTGCGCACTATATCGGTGGCAGAAAATCGTAAAGAAACACCGTACACATCGCGACACTATTAGCGCGAACACGACATTGGCGCATTTTCGCATTTTACTTCTAAATAGTATTAGCGATCACGAAATTTTATCGCTTACAATAGAGAACTAAGTGATCTCTTTCCGTAGCAATAATAACTTGGATGACATCCCTTGGTTTCAAAAAGAAAAACTGGAAAAATCGGCGATCGCTTGTTCGCGCTAGCAGTGTCGCGCTCTCTATATAAAAAAAAAAGAAAAAAGAAACACGAACAAAGTATGTTAGCGTGGAAGAATAAAAAAAAAAATTCAATGCACTCTCAAAGTTTCCAGCCATATAAGAAGGTATTATCAAAAAGTTTAAACACCGCTAAAGATTCTTTTTTTTTTTTTTTTTTTGAAATCAGTTGAGTCCAAATGACGGGGATGCGCAATATCCATAAGAAAGACAGCACAGAAAGATACCTCTCAAGTCAGATTGGCAGCAGCTGAAAGATTTTGCGCTGCAATTTCTCAATTAGACTCAAGTAAAAAGGTGCCTTGAAATACATGGTCCGAACATCAGAGGCTCACACGCTTTCGGTTTGTTCTACAGCGATATGCAAACTATCTCGCTTCGATCTGTATGTCTACTGTACCACCTTGCGTTCGTGTATTGCTGCGGCATGAGGCAGGTAAAAGACACCAGATAAGCTGGTGTTCGGGAATGGATAAATTTTTCATCTACAGCAAAGACGTCAGGCACCCGATGGTCACTATCTTTACGTTGTCTCCAGATATACGCCACAGAACCTAAACTACTATTTCATGTTAGGCTCGGGGCGGCAAGCCTCTAATGCATGCGCCACTTCAAGCTTATGTAACGGTGTGGTTTCCTTGGAAAAAAATATTATCATTAGCATCATTAGATCAGTAGTAGCCCTGTTGCTATGTTTAAAATTGCACTTTGTTTTTCTTTTGTTCTCTAGCTTCTGAAAAGGCATTATATTATAATTCTAATTTATATCACCTGAATGCCAGTTGATACTACCGTTTCGCAAGATAAACTTTAAAGCGAGCCGCGAATTTCGAAAGCCTTTGGCATAATGTCATCTCAAATGGCACCAACACAAGCGCATAAATGTAATTTTTGACTTCTCATTTAAAAAAAACAAGCAAAAAAACACGAATGAGAAAACAAAAAAAATAAGAAACCAGATCTTGCATCGTATACACTAGTCCAAAAATTAGGCGCCAAAACTAAAAAAAAAAAGAAAAATATTAGTAATTTAAGTGCCTACAGTTTTTTTAGTGAAATTCCCATTCTACCAAATCGCTTCTCCGTCATGCATTCAGCTATGGTCACAGTGATGGTTGCAGTAACCAAAACAAAAGTGAAATTACTCACAGGTGCATACTAATGTGTGCTTGCTACCAATAAGACATTACCATCATTTCAGGATAATATTATATTACAAGAGTCTTGCGGTCTTGTCTTGCTTACCATACTAAACAGCTTCAGATGCAGTGCTTGATTAAATATTCATTTTGTTGCCAGCTATGTTAGTGTCCCATGGACACTGTTGCAGTTCTCGGGTTTATATAGCAAATATCCGTCTTGGCAGCATTATGTTTTTATTCTACATATATTTTTTTTTATTAAAGAAAATGAAGTCGTTTTGAACAATATATTCTGCATGAATTCTTTTCTGCTAACGTCCATATATCAAAACAGGTTTTTGTGTTGTTTCTCTTCTATTTGTCCAGACAAGGATTCCAGTGTATATGGCGCACATGCCGGCGGGTACGTCCACGCAGAACATCGTCCACTATGCACAGGTACACGAAACTTCTAGTACTGCTCTTTTTGAAGTTCAGAAAGTAAAAAAAGGCAGAAGACGAGTCGTTTACAATTCTCTGTAATGCCAAATTAAAGAACAGCTCTTGAGAACACGCAGGGCAGGGCACGCAGGGGAGAATATTCCCCTCTTCCCCCTCTGTGCCCTCCCCTTTTCCTCTCCTGCTCCCCTCCCATTCAGCGTGAAATTGATCGAAAATTTCCCCACTAAATTTAGCGGGAAAATGTTCCCGCTAAACTTGGCAGAAAAATTTTCCCGCTAAATTTACAGAAAAATTGTCCCGCTAAATTAAGCGGGAAGATTTCCCCGCTAACTTTAGCGGGGAAATGACCCACAAGGCAACGCGCGGTTACACCGACGGCGACGCCGCTCAACCCGGAAATGGGCGCCTAAGAGCTGGGCTCTAATATTGGCAAAAAATGAAAAGAAAAAATGAATGACGTTTACAGATACAGTATCTGTAATGCGGAAATAGAGCTCAGCTCTTGAGGAGGAGGAAATCCTTCCCCCTCCGCCGTCTCCGTACCGTCTCCTCCTCCACTCCTACTCTCAAATCAAATCAAATCAAGGTTTATTTAGACAACCGTCGAGGAATGCAGCTGTCTGGGGGGCCGCCACAAAAGGCATCGACATGCCTGACAAGGCGACAGCCCCCCGCCCTCTCCACGGCCAGACAAAATGAAAGACTTAGATCAAAGAATGAAAGACTCCTCCTCCTCTTCCTCCATTCCCTCCCTTCCCCCTCCTTCAATTTGGTTTCCCCGCTAAATTTAGCGGGGAGAATGAAGCCACATGACTTGGTGTTACGTCACCTATGAACGAATAGTTTCTCCGAATATAGCCTGAAATTGTATTGGCATTGAGGTCACGTGATGTAAAATTTCCCGCTAAATCTTGTAAAAAACTGAATTTGTCCGCTAAATTTTGCGGGGAAATGAAGTGGTGTTGAGGTCACGTAGTGGGGAACTGCATTGGTGCTGAGGTCACGTGACGGTCAATTTTCCTGCCTAAACTAGCGGAGAAAGTGAATTTGTCCGGTAAATCAAGCATAGGAACTGAATTTCCCCGCTACATTTAGCGGGGAATCAAATTGGTGTTGAGGTCACATAACGTCAATTTTCCCGCTAAATTTAGCGCGGTTACGCCAACGCCGACGCAGACGCTGACGCCGCAAGACACGGAAAGGGGCGCTTAAGAGCTGCGCTCTAAAAACGTCAAAGAGAAAGCGTACCAGCGTTTAGATATTAGTGCAAGTGACATCTAATTTCTAGTCATGAGGTGCATGCTTTTTAATCCGAACAATCATGTGCATCGGCACAAGTTACTGTTATTGGTAGAAATATTGCTATGTTAAAAGTGTATTATAGGATCAATGTTAAAAACTCTGGGCTTCCTTAAATATTGCAACGAATCGCTGACGTGCAGTCTTTTGCTTTTCCAGATGTACAAGGCAAAGAATTTCATAATGTACGACTATGGCAAAGAAAGAAACAGGGACATGTATGGTCAGGTTAGTATGCTTTTCACTAGTCACACTCGGCGTTTGGCATTGTCTTGCATTCTGACATGATCCGATTCGGGCAATGATAGGGGCTGTAACCTTATGACAGCGTTTAAATAAGACGACAGATGCACTACATTGGCTTAGAGATATGTGCAGTACCATTTCAGCTCCTTTAACACATTTTCGAAATTCAGTGGTCGCGAGTGGGTTAACAAATGTTTTACTCGAGGAGTGGTCGTTTGTCTCAATTTAAGGAAAGCAAGAACGATTTTTTACTCTTTCTACTTTAGCATAGCTCGCTCTGGGTAGGGGAAAACCACCAATTGGGACTGTTAGAGATATTTACGTGAGAAGCTTGTCCAGCTTTTCGTAACCAGCGGCTGCCTGAGGTCTGCATGCAAACAGGTTGTGCGAAGTTTCGATGACTGGATATGCCGCGGCTTCCTTTTTATTTATTTTTTATCCGCCAACGACCAGTGCCATCTCCTGGTATAAAATTTCCTGTTACCGACTACGCTTTATGGCAAGCGCATTGCTCAATTGCAGGTCGTTTTCTGAATGCACTAGCACGAGCAGCACAAACAAGTACGCAGCTCGATCAGCAGGTTTCCAAAATTTCCTCTAACGGCCTAAAAACTATTCAATACTAAATGTTACGAGGGTGCTTAGTCTTCTGGGAGGTATAATTAGTCAAAATTGCACAGATGCCTGATGCTTCAGAGCAAGGTGACCGTGTCAACGTCACACTGATTTGCAAGCCTCTTTGTTTTGAAGGAAAAACGAGGAAAAGAAAATCTCACATTGTATTGTTTACCTTTAAGCTAAAGGGAAAAGAGGCTGTAGTGTTCTACATCGTAAGGAAAAAGGGAGCGCGACTTAGACTTTCGGGGGACTAAATGTGCTGACACTACCACTTGTCGCCTTGGGGCTAACGGGGACGGGAGCAACCTTTTCACCCCTTCCGTCAGTCCTTCAGAGTTGGACCCCCATGACTAACATTTGCGCCCTAGAATTTGACTACTTGTGGCGCCCTTGCATTTGGACGCATGGGATTTAATATTGCGCAATTGCATTTAGACCACTGGGACTTCGAGTTAATCTTTTGCATTTGGTTCCAAGTCGTTACATTTTGAACCCTTGCTGTTAGTCTTCTCGTACTCAAAGTTTCAGTCCCCAATTTGCGCACAACTGAAGAAATATGCCTCGCGAATGTCTACTGGCATCCTATGTACTGCAATCTCAAAAACAGAAAGTTGCAGTTCAAGTCAAACGTAACTTCATTGCCTCGTAGATAAAAATTACATTTAAGGATGACTAACGTTGAAATACCAGTGCGGTAGAATCCAAGCAAAGGCCGAAATCCGAAAGGTGCAGCTGCGGTGACGATCACTTAGACACTGCGACGTCTTCCCAAACCGGTCATAGCCCAAGCATCGTTTACCGGGGCACCAGCATCTTCTTGCTTCTTCGAGAGAGATTTGGATGACTAGTAATTCTGGGCACTGTAAAATTCCTGATCGCTGGACAAACGAATAAAAAAAAACACATTTATAATTTAAAAAAAGAAAAATAAAACTTTGGGGCGTTGAATTTGATCCGTTAAGAGTCAACCCGATAGCGTTATCGGGCCCCGTTCGTATCGCGTTCTCATTTGCTTCTCATGGTCTTGAGCAGACTTGTACACGTTACTAAAAAATAGTAAGGAATTACATTTACAATTACTCGAGGCTAAATTGTAATTTATTACAATTACAATTACCCTTCCATGAAAGTAAGGGACCGTTACCCCAAAAAATAATCCGTTACTTTCGTGGCGTTACTTTCAACAATATTGTCTTCACTTAAGAAACAAAGGGATAAGGGCTATTCAAATTCTTATTGTTGCAACCTGTTCCATTTGCGCACAGGCGGCGGTGGAGTATCGGGTATCGTTAATGGAGCCATCGGACCGATCGACTAAAATTCCCCACTCTCGAAATCGCAATGCTGTAGAGGTCATCATACATCTAGCCAAACCTAGAATAAGAATTGATTTATGTCCATCTTACTATACCGGCATATATTGCCAGACAATAGCAAAACACAGCTGTAACAGTAAAGTGATAATTAAATAATAAATAAGGTTTGGCTCGATATTCTTCTTCCTTTGGTTCTGAAACGGTCGAGCCTCAGTTGAGAAGTTGGTGAATAAAAAAAAAGTTTCCCGGAAATAAATATAAGTAATCGAAAAAGAGGACACTCATAACAACAATTAATAAAAACTTCGGTTAAAAAAATGAAATGTACACGCACGTTTGCCGTGTGTACCTTTCTTGGTGCCGTTCAAAAACGCACGAAACACGAAGCGACTGCAGTTTACTCTGGTGTTCTCCAGATAGACGTCCGCTGATGCCATGGGCAGCGAAGGGCAGAGTACTAAGGTAGCCGAGCTATGGCCCCACCCACGAGTTTCACTCTCTCCCCAAGCCCAGAATATCAAGTCTACGTCAGCCACTATTGTGTTTATTTGTAAAAATATCTGCTCCAGATAAGGTGCGTCATGCCGGGGGAAAAACAGAAGAAGAAAGGACGACTATTGCTATTTCCAAAGTGCTCGCAAAAAGCTGACTCACAAAAAAGGTGACTGAGATGCAGACAACCTGGCTGGAATTCACAAATAAAGTGGGCCAACTCTAGAAGTTGGACTAAAAAAAAGTAGGTAGCTTTTAAAACGGTGAAATAAGGTGAAAGAAAAAATATATCCTGTTTGCGAGCAGATAATAAGTGTGCAATAACGAACAAGGATGCTTGTGGCAAAAGCACCTTCACATATTATCATATCTTTTTTAGTGGATTTTAGGGTATACGGAGCGTTGTCTGGTGTTGTGACATAATGAAAATGGTCGTGGTCATTATAAACGAGAAGGACATTCTTAATTCTTGTCTGTGCACTTACCGTCTGGAGCTTCTCGAAGAGGTACAGAATCACTTCGCGTCCTCTTCTCCCCGTTTCCGATCACAAAAAAAGGAGTAAACAAAAGTGGATATAACCTGCCGCTTCCCCCCCCCCCCCCCCCGCCCCCCTTTTCCGCTTTTTCTTTTTTTGTAGAAATGTCTGTTTGGGTGTTTTGACATAGTTGCTAGGGTCTAAGAAAATAGATTTGGGGGATTAGTGTTGCAAGCAGAAAAGGCTTTGCGAAACTGAAGGGTGCCCAGCCTCCATTTGCGCGTGACGGTGTCACTGCGCTCGACCTTACCAAAATAAAAACAACCCTTCCTTTAGAGAGGGGGAGGAGGGGGGGGGGGGTTGGTCCTAAAAAAAGTAACGGATTACAAGAAATCTATTACGTAAAAAATGTAAGGGAATTACTTTAAAATTACTCTAGAAAATATGTAATTATTTCGTTCCTAAATTACTGATAAATGTAAGGGATTACAAGCAATTCCGTTACTTGTAACGGATTACGTACAGGTCTGGTCTTGAGTCACGCAATGACCTAATGACACCACACTCCTTTATTTTCCCACAGTTCGACTTTCTTTTCAATGTTCTGACACCTGATCTTCAAATTCTACAACAAGATTTCACTGTTCTGTACACAGTACAAGGTTTCTTGTTCCCTTGTTCCTTGTACGTTCACGCGCGTTTAGTATTTCACTCATTCACTACACACACATTCACACACCCTGACACGCACCACACTTTGGCACTTTCACTCATCGTGGTTGAGATTGTTGTGAATTCCTTCATACCTCTATTGTTCTATGACATACCTGAACGACAGTTGTCCCCTCCTCTTCTAGAGCACTTTCATCAAACTCAATCACTGCTTTGGTGATGTCACGTCGCACGAGTAATGTCACGTGTGACTTAATGTAACACGTCACATGACCTCGCGCTCTCCGTGTGTGACGTCACACGTGGTTCTGACGTCATGACCCTATCCACCAATCAGGATTTTCCGGTCCAACCGGCGCCGACACCGACGTTGACGCCGGATTTTCTGCGACACGAGCTCCTTAACGCTATCGCGGTAGAATAACAACTAGGCTGTGTGAGTGCTGCAACGGTTTACAAAAACATGCGATCTATTGACAGCAGAGCAGCGCGTTATTATAGTTTTAGTAGACCGTTCGCTCCGGGCCCCACATCAAGCGGGCACGTCCTCAAACTATGCTTCAGTGTGACGGCACGAGCTCGCGCTAGCAATGCAAAAGTCTAGTGTACAGTTGAATACATGTCTCGATTACAGGCAAGCAGCCCCTGCTAGGGTCTGCAAAACACAAAAATAATAAGCCAATAGTAGAATTAGCGTTTCGTTCGCTTTCATGAGGTAACCACATCCGATTGAATCTCACATTTTTGTGCTACCTAACAAAATCAGCACACAATGTGGAAAATTAATAGGGCATGGGGCGCGCTTGTCAAGCTCGAGAAGGCGCTCAATCTGAAGCTGCAGAGAATTAATACACCGTAAAAGGAAGTACTTTGACATACTTTATCAAGTTCCTTTGACTTCTGACTTCAAAACAGATTAAGCGCAATGCAGCAGCGCGAATCCAAACCAAATCCCGGAATCCGGCCAATCCCTCTTCTAGCGAGAAAAATGGCGATCCAAAACAATTCGGACTAACTTTACTTCGTACTGATGAGAAGCGAGACGACGCAAGCGCCGGTACGCAGGTCGAGTGACGTACGAGGGATATGACGCCAAGGGAAAAATAATCAGTTCTCTATTTCCATGCAAACGCTCTGATTTTCTTTCTCGCTTTTTTTTTCAACGCTATTAATATTTGTTGGCCGTTTTTATGTTATTGATAACAGCGACGACGGTATGAAGGCTACTGGATGCTGCCCTTGACTGCTTTCTCAGTGCAACATGCCGAGCATGAAGTGTGTGGTCTCGGATTTTGAATTCGAAATAGGTCTATCCAGATACGTGTGTTACTGGTTGACGACAAGTCGAGTCTTGACTTGTTCAACGAAAAAAAAAAGAAAAAAAATCAATTGTGGTTTTATTTAGAGTTGCTCAGTTTGAATAAATGTTCATATGTTTAGGCGAGGGTAAACTGCATCAATGTGACTTGTCAAATACGAACGCGTCATTGTTGACGAGATCGTTGGGTGAATGGAAGTCAACTTTTCGTTAGCTGGCAATCACACAACGCGATAAGTTCTGCGTACAGTCATGCATATACCAAATAGTTCCACGAAACCGGTCGTTTTTTTTTTTTTTGTTTTGTTTTTTTCTGAGGAGCGCTCGACTGGTGGCTTACCTTCGAGCTAGCGGTGACGTCAGGACTCTTCCATGTGAAGCAGGCAAGGCGGAGCCCTTCAACGCGAACTGCCCTTATCATCAGCACCTGTGTCACCGCTGTCTAATTGAAAGGGACAGAGGATTATCGAAACGGCAAGCTCGGTGACTAGCAAAAGCCCGTTTGAGGGCGAAAAAAAAATGAACCAAAATAACTTTAATTCTTTTCCAAGACAGCGTCGAGACAGTAGCAGATGATAACGGCAGTTCGCGTTGATGTCATTCCCCCTATCTGCCCCACATGAACGAGTCCTGACGTCAGCGATAGTTCGAACGTAAGCCACCAGGCAAGCGCTCATCAGAATAAAACACCCGCTCGCGCGCAGCTACTTCGTCTACGCATGACTCTACCATGCAATGTATCAAAGGTCATTGGACACTAAAGTAATAAGCTGGTCTCGTCCAAGTTTGATGAACCCTTTCAGCGGTGCCCGACTGAGTCGCGCCGATCCCGAAGATGAGAGAAATATCTGCTGGTCCTCCATACGAGCACTCCGTATTCCGTGTGTTGGTTGTCTTCCGGATTAACACAACATAAAGCTGTAGATAATGAAGGTCATTCCGTGACTTTTGGGGCTTTTTTATTATTGAAGGACGGCTCCGTTTTGGTATTTTCGGGTTTCACCTAATTGATAAAATTAATTTGCGTGCTAATTTTTGGGGTTTACTGCTATCTAGTGAAAACACTGAAACGCATTTGTAACGTCACGATGGTCCTGAAGTTAACGAAAATTACATAGTACTCTTTTTCTTTAAGTAACGTTCAATTGCTCCTTCCCTTCAGTGATTGGGTGATTTCATCGAATCTTTCAACACAAAAAATAATTGTATTGATAATCAACTACTTCGTTTGTACTTTTGAGCACACAAGACTGGCAATATGGGACCTCCCTGGCCATCAATAGGTGACGTAGAAAATTCAGCAACACGGCATCGTACATAATTGGTGTGGGCACCACACTGACCTCCCCTGAACTTCCGATCCGACCGTGTGCAGGACACGCCGCCGGAGTACCCTTTGGAAGAGATCGGAACCAGCATCGCTTTGTTCTCTGGACAAGGTGATCGGTTCGCTGACCCGAAGGGCGTGCAGGGTCTGCGGTCACGGCTGCAGAGTATCGTTTTCGACTATCAGCTGCCCCAGAAGAACTTCAACCACTTGGACTTCGTCATCGGTGACGACGCCACGCTCATGCTGCACAAGCCGGTTATAGAGCTCATCCAAGGCTATAACAACGACAACTTAGCGTGAACCAAAGCCAAGCTACGCGTCGTCACCATGGGAGTCAAGGCTCTGATGTCAATGTGATGGTTGGGTCATGCTGGCTCGTTGCTTGTTTTCTTTTAGTATTCATCATTTCATCCTACAAATAAACATGCATATATTCAAGAACAAAATAAAGATTGACGGTCCCTTGCCGTTGAATGCAAAATAAGCTGCAGCAAAGAAATACGCACTGCACGTGCTGGCATGCGCAATTGCACTGACATATTTAAATTCAGTTGGTGGTGTTTATATCCAGGGTTTTGCGTTTTCACTTTAAACCTATAAAAACCGAGAAACGTTAGCCGAATCCATTCTCAAGATTTTGGTAGTTTAATAAGAGTTGTTAGTGTTTTAAATTAGCTAAAGTCCTCTTTGTCTTTCTTTTTTCTTTCTTGGCGGGGGAGGGGGGGACTTTGTGCTGGAAAGTTTACGGAGTTAGCTGCGTTTCAAAACGACCTGCTCTATGCTGGGAAGGTTCACCAATCAACAATTTTTTGAAAATGAAATATTTCATTTTGTGAACGGGCTTTGCGTGCCAAGTTACTACCCTTTTTCGAGATGAAGTTTGAATTGGTACAGTTTTCCGAAGTAGCAAAACACGTCTCCAATGTAGTAGTGCTTTTTATAAATTTATATGTGAACCATTAACGATATTCAAACCTTGCTACCTGAGCTTCATGACTGCGTAAAATTTAAAATTGTCTAGAGTGTGGTGCAGCAGTCTTGTACACATCACTCGAAAACAATAATAATTAAAATTACAATTACTCATTAAAAAAAGTATTAAAATAGATTAGTAGCTTAAGCGACATGAAACATATTTGGCCTTTACTTGAAAACAGTCACTCGTACTTCTCCGATCACTTCAAAGTTTTAGAACGACATAGCATTTTACGAGTTTGAAAACGGGTATTTTGTACATACCATTATTTGATAAGAATCGCCGAATTATAAACTACTAATCTTCTTATTCCGCCGCTTTTGGTAAACTATCCTCTTGTAGAAGATTTGGTTCGAAGAATGCATGATAGAAACCTTGTGCCAAAAAAAAAGAAAAGAAAATACCGGTTGCAAGTCAATTTGTACTTCCAAAAATAAACACATAACTGGATTTCTTCCCAACAAACGTTATCAAATAATTGCAAAATTACTTTACAAATCGATTTACTACAAGCAATTTTATTACTTGTTATCAGTACCGTTCAAGTCTGGGTATAAGTTTTATTTCGTCACCTGAATTTCACAATTCGGTCAGCTTTCGCTACTGTAGTACTTCGCGCATCGGGAGCTACGAGAGAAAATCCTTGGCCACTCGTACGGCTGACTGCATCGAATCGCCATAGGAAATGGTGAGAAGTCGATCCGGAAACCACATTAAAGGATGTTTTTAGCAAGTCGCTATAGGGGTACACGTTGTAGATATCATAAATGGTGCAGCTGCTCCATTCTGTAAAAAGCTTACGTGCAAGTTAACGTGTTTTAGCGAATAGTAAACGTGGCGCAGCAGTGTAGACAATAATGGTGATTGCGTGATACCGACAGCGTCTTATTTTAGGAAATGTCTGAAACGTCCTCTACCGTGTTCAAATGCGTGGCCTTAGTTTAACGGCGTACGACAGAGGTAAACAAGACGGCTGAGGTAGCATTTACCGGTCAGATTTGAATGAGCTCCGACGCTAGCTAGAGTAAAAAGTGTCTGAACGATTGCTAAGACAGGTGAAGCGTAATTTGTGACCTTGAACTCGAACGGCAGTTCACGTTCTGTGCCGTCAAACCAAATCATTTCGTCTGCTCGCTGTTGTGACTGCAGCTAGTTAGCCCGAATTACGAATATTTACTTAAGCGAGTAGTTTACAGAATACACGATCGCTTACCAGCGTGAGCAGTCCTTGAAATGATTTGGCTCGACCTCTAAGACTGAGCAAAGAGTAGCAGAACGGCAAATTGCCTCCCGCCTAACGCTCGGCTGGGCCAGTCGCCGAAGCGACCGTCACCTTTGTTTTTTTCACTCCAGTCGTCAACGATGCTACCAGCGTTGCGGCAACAACACCAGCGGCCGGAGCGGGAGGAAGCGATTTTAGGACGTCGTGAGGGGATGGGCGTGGTTTAGTAACTGTCACGTTACCAATGGCGTCAAGCACAGTGCTCTCGTTTTTGAGTCATTTCGTATTCTAGGTTTTGTCACGTGATGCCTTAAGAGTTACCATTTCTTATTTAAAAGAGTTAAAAACGCGACCTGGTTGAGTTACCGCTCATTCACACTGGAAGCGGATCCGCGTTCGCAACGCGGTTTTGAACGCGGTTGCATAAAGATCCAGTACAATTGCACGCCAACTCGATGCGATCGAGTGCGCGTGCAATTGTACTGGATCTTTATACAACCGCGTTCGCAACCGCTTTGCAAACGCGGATCCATTTCCCGTGTGAATGAGCGGTTACGGTCGTTCATACCTAATGCGACAAAACGGAAGCCTTCGTCTGCCGAGTTTCCGGAAGTACGGAGTGCGAGTTACGATTACGGTGTTTTATGGGTTACGATCGTACGGTGTCGTGGTCGCGCTTAACCGACGTCCCACTGACTCCATCCAGCCCTCCAGGCGTCCAGGCTTTGAGCCAGTGAAACTTTGTCGAAGTGTGGCATGTCGCAAATGCGGTGTCGTCGCCCAGGAATAGAGCGCACCTGTGCTCACTGTGAGACTGTGAGAATCGCCTAACATTCATACCTGTCACAAAAGATACCCCTATTTACCCCATATCAAACGTGACTGACTCAGACTTCGACGCCCAGCAGGTGCAAGCAGACTGGATAGCCGCGCGAGCATGCTTTCTGAAGCAGCCCTGTATTGCACTAGCGCGTATGCATTGCAGGAACGCGCAGAACGCTGTGCTCTGCGCCTGCTGTGACCTGCGGTTGCTTTTCTATACGCTCGCTGAGCTCGCACAAAACAGCACAGCGCTAGTTCCGAGGACAGTCGACAAAACGTGCAAACCATAAAAAAGAAAAAAAAAATTGCTTGCGTTTTTTTTTTTTTTTTTTTTTTTTGCTCCTTTTTGTTATAGTTTACATGGTTCAATTCCTCTAGAGAACTTGAGACGGGATGGTAAATTAATAAAGTTGCGCTGCGGGCAAGACTCTTTCCTTGGTTCACAGATGCTAGGTTGCGATTTTCTATCTTTATGAAAATAGAAAATGTAAGTCAAGTTCCTGCCAGACTCACCAAAATAAGCAAGTACACGTGGCGCCTTCGCGTGTTGGCTTCACAAAAGTGGCTATACACCTCTTCATCTCGGTAGTTACCCGACCGGCAGGTAGAGGGCGCCGCCGCACTCGCCGCCTTTGGGTGCCTTCAATTTGATTGGTTTCGGTTGTAATGCTCTCGCGCTGTGCTTGTGTTATGTCAGTTTCGCATAATTTCGTGAAGAAAATGGGCCGTTTATAGCACACAACTGATAAAACTGTGGTACTGAGCCAATTTGAGAACCCAAAGTGGTTTCGGGTCATTTTCGCGGGCTTTTTTACGGACACTTCACGATGCATCTGGTGATCACGTTCGGCGGCGAAACGGCTATGACGCACAAGGAGGATTCCAATCATCTAGGGCCGTAACCGCTGACCCTAGTCTTCATAAAAATGAAATAATAAAGAGATTATTGAGTATATGTATAGTAAAAATGCAGGTCCACAAACAAATTAAAAACCTCCTGAATCGTCGCGAAAAACACATAAAGTCGCGAGCTCACTGCTCACTATCTGATTTTCGCGGACACCAACTTTTTATGAACTCCAGAGGCTTGAAATATATCCTATAATAAACGAATATAATTTAAAAAAAAAAGAAGTGATATTGTCTTGTGCTGTTTTCCTTAACGAAATTGATTACTCGAGATATATTTCGATAGTCCGTCCTAGGTCGGGTGGGAAACTCCTTTAGCTATTGACGCTACTAAAGTACTTATTAAAAACGTTTCACAAAGTTGGCATTAGACAATGAGTGATTTATTTTACTGACATTTGATTAAGACGTGCTTGGCACATGAGATAAGTCACAGGCCCATCAATTGAAGTCTGAAATGTTGTCTTTGTGCAAATTTAGCCAAATAAAATTAAAGGGTCAGAGAGAAGTGATCTCCCGTACCTTTGGCTGAAGTCGAATACAAGAGTCGAATACGATACTTCATGAGCCTGCATAGACAGATGTTTATGGAAACTGATGCGATCTAGTATCAACAACGCTCACATCAGGTTATTTCTTTACATATTGCTTCTTTGCGGCATAACATAATGTGAGCTCAAGGCACTTCCAAGCGGCCTGTGACAGATTATTTTTTTTTCAGAGTGGTCTTTGTGTTAAAATAATAAAAATAAATACGTTACATTTCGTGTTAAAAAATGTCAACACCCTTTAATGACTACAGATATGGGACCGAACATGGTGTACAGTTTGTCTAAGTTCATAAATAAATCAAGCAAATTTAGGTGTTATGTCGTGAACAAACAAATCGCCTGATGTGGACGTAACCATTACCCCGAGCATCAGATAAAATGTGAGTTAAACGTTCGTTACTTGTATATCTTATATGTCCCATATAATTAAAACAACTGTTTTAAATTTGTTATGAAGGCAAGGCACGAGACTTTCAGGAAACACACATAGCTTCATATACTGAGTATTTTAGTTACATTCCTTAAGATGCTAAGTGCGCGGCTATACATATACATTGCACTATACTTATTTCAATTATTCCGCCACTATCACTGAGCGAACTTCAGTTATCATAAATAGTTGGGCTCAATATGCGCCAGGGCTGACGCTGATTCCTGTACATCTTCCCTTCTCACACGTATCCGGTACGCCGACAGTGAAAGTAGTACAAATATGTTACAAAATAAGCTGCAGATGTCGTCGTGCACATTATTTATGGCATGCAATTACGGTGTAAATGTAAGCATCGGTCGGCAATTGACAATAAGTCGAGAAACGCGG